GCTGGCCGGGCGCTGGTATCGGAGTGCCGTCCGAAGGTAAGTGCTGAGCCCGGCCCGGTCACCCGCGTGACGCCGCTGTCCTTGCTGGGGTGCCGCCGCGGGAGCGCCCTCTCTGTGTCTTGTCTCCGCGGCACCGGGGTTTTGCTTGTAGGGTCTTCCGAGGAGAGAGTGACACCAAGTGCCCTTGGGAAGGCCCACCCTCCTCCTCGGCCCGGAGGGGTCACGGGGAGGCGTCGGGAAGCCCGACTGCTGTTCCCTCTGCGCGGGGCCGCCACCCCGGCTGCTCCGGGCTGGAACGCACCGACTGAGAGCGTGTGAGCGTGCTGTGCTTGTGTGCGGGACGCTGTGGAAGCGCAAGTCTTAGGAGCAGTGTAACCCGCGGTTCTCAACCTGTGGGTCGCGACCCCTTCGGCGGTGGAACGACCCTTTCACAGGGGTCATCTAAGACCATCCTGCATATCAGATATTTACATTACGATTCATAACAGTAGCAACATTACAGTTATGAAGTAGCAACGAAAATAATTTTATGGTTGGGTCACAACGTGAGGAACTGTATTTAAAGGGCCAGAAGGTTGAGAACCACTGTCTGCCTTTTGGAGAATACTTCTGCAATGCCAAATGGCGGGGTACGCAAACCATGTAAAAACCCAAACGAATCTATCCGTAGGAAACAAAAAACCCTGGGACATGGTGGTTGCTTTGTGGCAATGGAGTTTTGAGTTATTTTCTTGATTTTCTATATTAAACGGTCGTGTTTTGTAATTTTTAAAAACTCACTTTATTTTAAAATAAATAAGTTTGCACTATAGTTTGTGAGAACTTGCACATTTAGGCCTTATTTGGACTTTTTTTTTTTTTTACTTTCTTTTCGTTTTCTACTTGGAATCTGCCAGGTGCCAAATTCCTGTAGGATACAGAGTTTTCCCCACGGGGGAGAAAACCAACACTAGGTCAAATAGTTAGTATAAAACCTATTGAGGACCAGTTTTATTGAATTACAGAATAATATCTCAATGCTTGATCCTAGACTTCATCCTACTCTTTGAAGATTACATTAGTGCAGAGGAGGTGATACATTTGCTACGTTTGGGCTTTATTTGTAACTATTATTTTGTCATCTTTGGTGCAATTAACTTTATTATCCAAGATCATCATTGTGAACATCCATTTTTTGCTTGTGGCCTCAATATTGTGCACTGAATTTTCCTTCCTTCTGCTAACTGTGTGAGCTTAAGAACTTACCAGCGGTGCTTGCTGTTCTGCTCCTGGCTGTCTGGTTGAAACATAGTTGGGTTAGGAGTGAGTCTGTGTCTGCTCATTGTTAAGTGCAGAGGCTGTTTCTAGGCCTTGCGACACAAACTACTAAATTCTTTCAGTGCACTTTCCCCCTTGGTCTTAGTCCCCCTTGGTCTTAGTCTCCCGCTTTCTTCTACCTTGTATGCCTTTCATTTACTTCTTGCCTGTGGCAAAATTTACAAGGGCATTTGGACTCCTCATACCTCGTTTTATTGCACTTTTTTTTGCACTTAACAGGTGTTGCATTCTCTTTACAAACTGAAGGCAAGACCCTCCACCAGCCAAAAGATTAGAACTTGCTCTGTTGCAAAACTCACTTTATTGTGGTGGTCTGGAGCCAAATCTGCAGTATCTGTGTGGTATTTAATTTGAATTGCTACAAATAATGTGCTGGATAGTAGCTTCTTTTACTGTTATTTTTAAATTACTACAGTTAGCTTCTGTATTGATGTCTTATCTAAGGATCATTTTGGAAACCACTGACCTTTGCACCCAGGTTGCTGGGGCAAGTATAGGGAAAATATTTAGAGAGAAACATAGCATTTTAGTATGTAAGTGTTGGGAATAATTAGAAATCCATCTGCCTGTTTGCAGTCCTCTGCAGGTCATTAGTTTCCCATCACTTCAGTTGCACTTGAGTGGAACAGCAATGAGAGCCAGTCAGGAGGACTTTGAAAGTGCAATGAATCAGGTAAAACTGTTGAAGAAGGATCCAGGAAATGAAGTGAAGCTAAGACTCTATGCACTATATAAGCAGGTAAATGTCTATGGTATGATATAATTTAGAGATGTTTTGAGTAGATGGCTCCTCAAATTGATAAAGTGTATGTTTTACTGAAATTCAGCTTTACTATTTTTAGGGGTTTTTTTGCTGCCTTTATTTTTTTTTAATATATTTTATTGATTTTTTACAGAGAGGAAGGGAGAGGGATAGAGAGTCAGAAACATCGATGAGAGAGAAACATTGATCAGCTGCCTCCTGCACACTCCCTACTAGGGATGTACCCGCAACCAAAGTACATGCCCTTGACTGGAATCGAACCCTGGACCCTTCAATCTGCAGGCCGACACGCTATCCACTGAGCCAATCGGCCAGGGGCCAGGGCTGTTTTGCTGCCTTTAAAGAGTGTATTAACCTAAAAATAAAATGTCAAAGTGAAAGGCTTAACAAGTATTTATTTGAGGTCACAGAATTGCAATTCAGGGTACAGATTCAGGCAGAAACACAAATTGCATCCCAATTACAGGGTGAAGGCAAAGGTTTTTTATACGAAAGGAAGGGAAATGATTACATGAATAAAGGAAAGAAATTTCTATTGCTGTTGACACATTGAGTTACTGATTCTATCTTCAGAAAGGTAAAATCTTTCCTTGTGGCCCGGGTGTCTGTTTTCCTGTAGTTTTACAAATAATTGCTTTGGCCCAGTCCAAAAATTATTTTGCCAGTTCACAAACATTTCAGAGGTTCCAGGAACAAAATGTACAAGCAATTTTTCTGCAATGCCTACTTTGGCTCTATTTTAAAACCGTTCCACTTGTGTGAACTTCTCACAGGAGTATACATGTGTTTGTATATTATATTTTCAAACCCTGCTAAGGCAAAAAGTAACCCCTCAGGACCACTCCAGAGGAAAAGAGACTTGAAGGATATAACAACCAAATGTGTAGACCTTATTTGGCTGCCGATTCGAATAAATCAACTGAAAAAGTTGTTTTGAGAAAGCTGGGGAAATTTGAATATGGACTGAGTAGAAACTGTTAATAGTATAGTGGTTATATTAAGAAAATGCTGATTTTTTTTTTTTCTGAATGCATATTAAGAATGTAGGGTGTGCCCTAGCCAGTTTGGCTCAGTGGATAAAATGTTGGCCCTTAGACTGAAGGGTCCCTGGTTCGATTCCGGTCAGGGGCATATATGTAGGCTTGATCCCCAGCCTGGTCGGGGTGTTTCCTGGTGTGTGCGGGAGGCAACCATTCCATGTGTCTCTCTGGCATTGATGTTTCTTTCTCTGTCTCTCCCCGTCCCTTCCACTCTCTCTAGAGAATCAATGGGAAAATATCCTCAGGTGAGGCTTTTTAAAAAAAATAATGTAGGATGTGCCCTAGCAGATGTTTTTCAGTGGTTAGAGCATCTGCACACACACCAAAGGGGTCACGGGTTCGATTCCCAGTCAAGGGCACCTGGGTTGCAGGATCCCCAGCTCCGTAGTCGGGCCTCATGCAGGAGGCAACCAATAGATGTCTCTCTCCCTCCGTCTCTCTAGAAATCAATGGAAAAAATATATCCTCAGGTGAGGATTAAAAAAAAAAGAATGTAGGAGTGAAATTGATTGGTGTTTGGGGTTCACTAAAATAATTAAAACAAAAAAGAAAGAAAAAGATGGAGGAAGCGAGTATGGCAAAAATGATAGTTGTTGATTGGGTGATGAGTATTGGAAATTCATTGTAATATTTTATTTTTGTGTCTCTGAAAACTTTTATAACAAAGTTTCAAAATGTAAATTTTAAGTTGCAATGTCTAAAGACTAGGGCTCCTGTGTGTTATCTGTTATTCCCTTCCTGTGATTGGCATGAGCCTCTCCTACCAAAAAGAGGTATGACCTTTGCCCTTGGCTTCTGGGCAAGATTACCTTAGATTACCCAATATCTAAACCCTTGAAATGCCATGCCTGATAGGAGTGTCTTTGCCTGCAGAATCTAACAGTGTGATTTAGAGTGGGACTGGCCATAAGATAGTAACAATGTGATTGACAGTGGGACTTCAGTTACATATTCCATGCCGATGGAGCTCACGATGAAAACTCTGAACACTGAGACTTGAGTGAGCTTCCCTGGTAGGTGATAGATATCCATGCGTGTTGTCACACATCAATTCTGGGAGAGGTACACTGTCCCGACCCCACAGTGGGGTGGGAGGGGTATACTTCCCCAGACTTCACCTTATGTATCTCCTCCCTTGCTGATGTTAATCTGTATTCTTTCCTGGCAGTAAATTGTAATCGTGATTATAACAGCTTTCAGTGAGTTCTGTGGGTCATTCTAGCATATTTCTGAACCTGAGAGTGATAATAGGAGTCCTCTAACCTTGCATTTGGCATTAGAAGTAGGGGAAGTTTTGCGGACTTTGTTGCCTCTAATTTCTGAGGTGGTTAACTCTTGCAGTCACTTTTGTTTCTTTGTCTTTGGACAGTCGCTTTGTTTACTGCCTTTGTTTTTCAAAGCTCTTCTTTCCTCTTTTAGCTAATTATATTATGTAATTTAACATTTTTAGTTAATTTTTAGTAGTTATTTAGTGGAGTCTTAAATTGCCATTTCTGAAAAGTAGTTGATAAGGTAGAATATTTTATTCATCTCTAAAGACTCACTCCACCTACCCTCAAACAAGTAAAAAGTCTAGTTGCTTTTTGCTTTCTACTCGCATGTCCTTTGATTCAGTTTCCTAAGGGCCAGTGGCTCTGACAGCCCCATCCTGCTCCCTCAGCTACAACTCTGTTGCTCAGTCACCAGAAATCCACCACTGAATTAGTGGCAGTTTTTTGTATTTTTGAATGGGCTTTTAGGGTAGACTGTGAGTTTCTAAATGTTTATTGGCTAATTACCTTTAAAGATTGTTTGCTTGAATATTTTATTTATATGTGAAAATGTGATTATCAATTTAAAACTAATGAACTATTAGAATTTTTGAAAAGTGCTTTCCCACAACCTTTATCTTGCAGCATTTTCATATGTAGGTGGTTATAACTTATTTCACGGATTCATAGCCAATAGCACACTTTGTCTCTCCAGTCTTTTTTCTGTTACTTGTGCATTTTTAACAACAGCACCAAAGAGAAGACAAAGGGGAAGTTCAGATCCATTTATGTACCTTGTGAAAGTAGTTGGGAGGGAAGGCACATTCATCCTAGTTGTGGATTTTATGGATCTTAAACTTTAAGGCTCCAGTTTACTTGGACATTTGGCTAAAAATTGCCCCTCTCCTTTTCACAGGCCACTGAAGGACCCTGCAATATGCCCAAACCAGGTGTGTTTGACTTTATTAATAAGGCCAAATGGGATGCATGGAATGCTCTAGGCAGTCTGCCCAAGGTAAATTTGTTACTTTGCTTTTATTTTACTTGCTGTACTCCTAAAGGAAGTTGAGTGTTTCTCATTATCAATCCATTATAGATGGAGCCCTTGAGATCTTAATGTAATTCTATTGAATCAGAACCTCTCTCCATTGCAAGGTACTACTTATTAGCATAGTAAGTTTCTCCAAATGCTTATTTGTTGACCATGGGTTTAAGTTATTTGTCATCTTCTCTTCAGGAAACTGCCAGGCAGAACTATGTAGATTTGGTATCCAGTTTGACTTCTTCATCTGAGCCCTCCAGCCAAGTGAAGCCTGGAGCAGACAGGGGACAACAGGAATATGAAAACCTAGTGGTGACCTCTGAAGACGGCATCACAAAGATCATGTTCAACCGGCCTACCAGAAAGAATGCAATCAGCACCCAGGTGACGTTACCTTCCCTGGAGTTCTCCACCCACCCCCTCCCCCCAATTG